GTGCGTACCATTGCTTGGTGTCGACGACCCACGCCATGGGTGCCGCCGGGTACACTTCGTCGTGGAGGACGGTCCGCAAGACAAACGTCGACGTCGTCGCGTCATCAAAGCGGCCGCTGAGGACGTTATAACAGACGCTCGATTCACCGTACTGGAGGGCTTCGTGCATGTATTGCATCGAGTCTGAGAGCCGCTCGATGCGCTCGTCCATGTCGTCGCCATCTTGTCCGACAAACCGGCGCGCAAACGACTGTTCGGCTGTCCAGTAGGCGTCGGCGACTTCACGCAGCGAGTAGGCCACGACGTGCTGCGTCGCCACGTGGATTTGCAGCCGGTTGTCTTGGACATGCACGTGCACGTCGACGACGTTGACATTCGTGTCGGGAAAAGCAAACGCACTCATGGCGCGGCGGGTGTTAAAACGCACTTGGTTGAGGATCCATTCGCAGCCAAGGGCCCGCGCCGTCGGGTCGCTCGACACCAGCTGCGTGTGTCGCCACGTCTCCTCGGCCACGCTCGGGACGCGCTAATAGTTCACAGACCATGATGCAGACGGGGTGAAAGAGAGAGGTAGATATGTACGTCGATGCTGAGCTGCGCGCAGGCATGCACGACGTGGTAGAAGCGCGCATACGCTCGCTGGGTGCGCTGGAGCCGGCGGTTCTCACCCACGAGCCGCAGCATGTCATCTTGTAGCGCTTTGGCGACGTCTTCCCAGGCCAGCGCCGAGCCAAGCGGGCGCCGACGGAGCCGCTCGATCGTGCACTGCAGGTCGTAGATCTCACGTTTGAGCGCGTCGAGCTTGAAGGTGCAGCGCGTCTCAGGGTTGCGCCGCCGCGCACGCGTGACCACCATGATGGACACGTGCGATTCGGTTGTACCGGCTGGGCATGCATCGACCAACCGGTTTCGAGCAGCCCGCTTCAATTCGCACAGCCAAGTACATGTGCCCGCGTCTGAGTTGCAATCAGAGAACGCGCACACAAAAGCGCCGCGATAGAGTAGCCCACGACTTGTTCGAGTGTACTACCACGAATCAGGCTCGATGAAAGAAGCACCCAGCAGGCAAGCTTCTTGGATCGATGCTGTAGAACTCGGTGGTGGGAAGCTGGTGGTACTCGCCGAAGTGGCTGCAAGTGGTTTGGTAATCGGTGCTAGCAGACAGTAGTACCAGAACGATTGGGACTGCTCCGAATATACTCACTCCTTTTACGACAACACGACGACAGCACAACGGCAGCACCGCCATCACATGGCTACGGAGCTACGCGCGCCGACATCAGCGCCACAACTGGATACGAATCGAGACTCGAGGGTATTGTGAGCACAGTCAACCAGTTTGTGGTGTGGAGGGCCGCACCACCACCATCATCATCAAGTGTATCCAGGTGTCGGCGGCTAGCATTGCACACGACAGCAGCCAAAGTACACACTCTGGTCCCTCGCACAATCTCGAATCACGACCACGAACACCCACTGACTAACGCCCCTCGCTGACGCACCGGCCACGCCTCACGAGCGCATTAGGAAGTCCACCATATCTTTATAAGTGCATGTAATATAACTCAGTTCAAGAAAAACACATTCTGGTTCTGAGGAATCGGCTTCTCGTTGATGTTGTTGCGTCGTCGTGGTTGTTGTTGTTGAATTGGGTCCTCTATTACAATAGATAAA